GAAATAAAAATAATACTCTAACAACATGGAATGCAAACGATTTGCCGAAACAGTTACCAAAATTACATTTAACTTAACATCGCTTCCGACAACACAAGATGCAGCTCGTTTCCACGGTGTTAAAGTTTATCACCAGGAAACATTGCGATCCTGATGATTAGGGCGGGAAAAAGCATTGCAAAATTTTGGATATCAATCAAAACTTTCAAAACGTCAGCACCCCCCGAACTTCTGAAATTAATTTTCTGCAGATGCAAGGAAAACTGTGGAAGAATGTGTGGTTGCAGACAAGTAGTTTTCAAATGCTCTGCAGTATGCACCAATTCTTCTGGTGACACCTGCAGTAAAATCATAAAATATTCAAATTAATCGAGAATTTGAAAATGAATTATCCACAATGACGCCAATTCTTCACAAAATTTCCGTTCTTTCGCAAACATTCACCTTCGATACTGGAATTAGATCCTGATTCGCAGGCTGGACTATCAAAAAAAATAAAAAATAATAGCTGAAAAACAACTTTTTAAATATATAATTATATGCTCAATATTATCTCGCCTGGTAATTTTCAGTAAATTATGGCTAATGGGGATACCACCTAAGAAACGTGCCTGAAACTCTACCTCAAAGGTAGTCGTAGAAAAGGTCGATAATAAACTAGTAATACCATGGAAATGTTAACAAAATAATAAGTCTAATGGTTCGTTTTTATCGTATATTTAGAGTATTCAAGAACCCTGTTTTTGGAGCGCTATAAAATCCAGAGAAATTAATAAAATTATAGTCAATTTCCATCATATTGATGGAAAATATGGAAAATACCATCAATGGAAAATAGATATTTATCAACAAGTTTACAGAATTATATAGGAAAACAATTTTAAATTGAGTATGACCACCAGGTATAAAAGGTTGAAGCAGAATAGAATATAATAGTTTTGAGGGTTACTAATCCCCAAATAAAGTTGCCAGTGTCGGAGTGATGAAGATTAACAGGTACTAATGAATTTGCAAGAAATGTAAGATGTTTATTTTATTGGTTATATATAAAATAATTTGTGGCAGTAATAGGGGCCGATTTGTAAAAAAATGAATATTATTTTAATCAAATTCCATTTCAGATTCGCTGCTTTCTTCAGAATCTAAGGAATCTTCAACTCCAATGTTAATTATTACCGTTCCAGCATTGCATCAGTCATATTATCCAAATTTCACATTTTATTTTCTTCCTTGTGAGCATGACTAACAGCATTTTTCCAATTTTCTGGAGTTACTTTTGATAAGGAATGTTCTAATAATTGTTGTAAGTCTTCTAATTTAAAAGTTTTGTTGTTGCGTCCGACTTCACCCTTTACTTGAGACCATATATTTTCTATCGGATTCAGATCACAGTGGTATATAAACGTAAAATATTTACATCACGGTTTAATGTCATTTCATCAATTATATATTTTTATAAGCTGCTTTATGTTGCCTTACAATAGGTAATAATTCCTTTTTTGTCGAATTCTCCTTGTACTCAATTGCGTGTTTATCCAACCATTCGATTATCTCTCCTTTTTTCCATGCCGTTGTTGGCAATTTTTTTCTGCTAGTCTTGAAATGGTAACTAGCATTATCCATGACTATGACAGAATTTTTTGGAATTAAATCCAACATTTGCTCAAAATATTCTTCAAAAACGTCAGTAGTAATTTCCTCGTGGTAATCTTTGGTTGATTTTGAGACAAAACTTAATAATCCACCATTGACAAAACCGTAATTCGTTTCCAATATGGGTTATTATGAGTCTGCGTCCTTTTCCAACGGGAATATTGTTTATTCCAGTAGATACACCTTAGATGAATGCCTGACGGGACTTTTCACATTTGTATCAACCCATAGATATGGTACAGTATGACCTTCATTTAGCCAAGTCTCGTCCAAATAAAAAATTGTTTTTCCCTTCTTCTCGGTACTTTTTAATAGTTCTTAGAAATCTCGTCTCCAACATACAATGTAATCTTTTTCAATTAAAACGGATTTTCTTCTATTCTTTTGCCAACGAAATCCCATCTCTCTCAATAGTCCCCATAATTTCTTGTTGCTTATGATTGGTAAACTCTTCGTTTTTCTCTAATTAATGTCTTGGATTTTGTCCAATGTGGAAATTCTTTGTTTTAAAAAAAAATGAGTGGACGTTGCGTCTTATCATGTTTTTATGTATCTTTCTTCAATTTCAAAGAATTTTACTTCCCTCCACTCTTCTTGGGAGATGAAACAGTTCCCCTCCTTTTGTTTCTTTTAGGATCTATAAACTGTTGCTTCTCCAACCCCTGTCATATTTGAACGCATGTTAACCCTTTAAAACTACACTTAACCGGGATAAAACCTGTTGTCGACATCATTTTTAAATGCAAATAACAAAATATCGACACCAAAAACGTAGGTAGGTAAGACATGAACAATGTACATCTACAAACTAAATGGAAGATGCAAACAATTTCTAATTTATATTATTGGCATAAGCTGTAATGTGGCATAAAAATCACTTAAACTATCATTAGTGAAGCCTTATCAGTAATTCCAGGTAATCGTTCAAAGAAGGTAATCTTTTTGTGTCAGGCGATAACTTGTATAGAAAACAATAATCACCTTTAAATTACTGTTTAAATTAATTTATTTCGTGAAACATTGAATTCTCTCGTTAATCACCCATGTATAATTAACAATAATCGTGTGGCATATATACCGACGTTTTTTACGCACAAAAAAGGTATAGTGAGATTAGTGGACACATATATTTTACAGAAGATTTTTTAAAAGATAATGAATTGTTGAAGTTTTTTTTATTTAAATCATGAATTTTCTTTACCTATTTTTTTTATTTATTTCAAAACAAGTATAAGGTGACGCCTATGGTTTTTTGACCTGTTGAGGATTTGCATACATAATGTGCTATCAATATGATGGAAAAGGATTATAAATCAATTTGTTTTTTCTTATTATTAACATCTAAGATTTTTTACAATCTGTTTCACAATAAAAACAAGGTCTGGACGCTGGTAGGTCCAAGGGATCATACCGCTTTAATCTCTTCACTTGTTGGTTGTGAAGATTGTATGCGAGGGTGTTAGGATGCACTCGAAACCTGTTTTCATAGTATTCAGAAATTCTTTTGCACTCTTCAGAGACTGTTAGTACCTATAGATCTCTATGTAAGGCGTCATTCTGGATATGCCAAGGGACATTACCGATTTAGAGTTTTAGATTGAAATCTTTTTATTTTCATAACATTAGATTTGCTGATCCCTAGAGCAACGAACCATATGACCAAACGGGTTTTATGATACCTTTGTATATCAGCAGCTTGTTCGATCGATGAATAGGTGAGTTTTTTTCCCAGCATCCAGTAAAGTTTTCTGTATAAAATTCCTAGTTGTAGTCTTTTCTCCCATATATGTTTGGTCCATGTTAATCTTTTGTCCAGATAAATGCCTAGATATTTTACATCATACTTTTGGAGTAGAGGATATCCATCGAGGTTAACTTGTGGACACATACCTCTTCTTAGAGTAAATGTAATGTGTGTGGACTTTGATAAATTCTCCAGAGTTTAAACCATTCATTAGTTTGTTTAGATGTAGTTGCAATATCTGAGCACACTACTCTAAGGTACACCACCAGGACATCTTCTTTCTGTAAGATATGATTTTAGGTAAGCATTTATTGATTAAGGTAGCAGTTTAAAATAAGTATAAGGCAGGTTTTTCTTTAACTTGTACATAATTCCTGTGTGCCACACCTTGTCAAAAGCTTGAGAGGCATATAAAAAGGCTGCAGTACATAAAAAGGCAGTGTATAATCTGTGAACTTGTTCTATTGTAGCGCATTGGTTGGGAAATCCGAATTGATGTTCAGATATAAGACCCTTTTTGTCCAATATTGGTTTGATTTTTCTCAACAAAAGCTTTTCAAAAACCTTTGAATTAACTGGCAGTAAACTTATCGGTCAGTATGAGTTGACATCTTTTGGATCTTTACCAGGTTTTTGAATGAGTATAATCTGTGGCACTTTCCATTGCAAAGGAAAGTAGTGCAGACTTAACATAGCATTGAAGATCATAATCGCAGAGACGATGTTTGCAATCTTCTCCTGCTATGAATTTGAGTCCAAGAGAACTAAAGTAGGTATTAAAGTTAATGTTTTCGTTAATGGGTTGGCCAGGAGGACAGTAAAATGCAGATAAGGTAAGGTTACCTAGCCAGTCTTCAATGACGATGCTAGTTGATTGTAGGTACTTTTCACTGAACTTATTTAACTCATGATGTTTCATATTTGATTTGATGATGATAACTGTGCCACCGTGTGCTTTGTCATTTGTTTTGTGCAGTGAACAATGTATTTTGGAATTTTAATATAATTTTTATCTGTTAAATGAGCTTCTGAAACAAATTTTTCGCGAAAATTATTCTTTGAAAAACCTCCTACAGTATTGATCTAATGTCATTTATGGTAAAATAACCACAAAAAAAGTTATAAGGCCAAAAAAAAAAATTGTTCAAGAGTTTTTAATTATTTTTGTTTATAACTTTTTTATTTCACATTTTACAGTTAAAAGTAATGATGGTAAAGTTGTAGACAATTAAATCTGCTACAAAAATGTTAAATTAAATTTTCTGTAGTGTTGCTGGTTTACGAGATACAACGTGAAAACCCTTTGTCGAAGATGGCGGCCGGGAGACAAGGGTTGCGACCCTACAAACTTGAACCTAAGCTTATACTAACCACCCCGACACATTAAAAAAATAAATTTGCGTCCTCTCAAAAATGTAAACTCAATATAACTTTTCAATGAACTAAAAACTTCTCAAAAATAACAGAGATAATTATTAACTAATTTTAAATTTTTAACTAAATTTTAGGTTACCCTTTCCAAATTTATTACATTACCAAAACTATTTTTTTAATTTGCCAGTATGTTTGGTTATTTCTACAACTAAAGATTTTTTTCTTATAGGTGGTATATTGATCAACATTGAATGCAAGGCATGGGCAAAAAATATCATTCACGACCGCGTCGACAGAAGAGGGTCAGTCCACTTCGAACTTATGGTGGACTAAGAACATCAACATTATCAAGTAGGCCAAATATGGGCCCTGACAACTGCCATCAAGTAAAATCGCAAGGGCTCGCATTTTTAGAATTCAAATTTCCGTAAAATACAAATATGGTGACGGTCTAGATAGTTTAGTTACCAGATATTAGTTCACGACAACCTTAGGAATTTTATCTTTGCCATCACTGTTAGTTATATACAGTCGATTCGGAAACATATAGTCGTTTAAGACAAGAAGTTGTAGTTTACTTAAAAACTATAACTTCTCGTCCTTCATAACATACAGAGGTTATTTTTCTTACTTGCGGTTTTCAGTTCTGAAATATCAGCTTTTCTAAGCTTAAAAAGATCACACATTTTATAACTTTGGAAAACCTTGGTATTTCTCAGGACAGTATCTTCAATTTCCCGACTATATTTTTGTGGATCGCCAAATTGTATTTTAGGTCGCTTTTGGCCACCTATCACTGACTTCCATAGGTGTACCCAGGGTAAGCGTCAATGGGGGTCGAATACTTCACTTGATTGCAAATTTTTGTAAAGGTGACAGCCGTTTTTTGTGTCCGGATCATGTGTCGAATATATAATCAGGAAAGCATTCCCTTAAGTGGTTTTAAACACCGTGGATCCCAAATTTCTCAAATATTTAATGACCTTATTACAACATTTACTTGTGTTGATACTCACACAAAAAGTGTTAAAAGCTCAATTCTATTCATTATCAAGAAAATGCGCGCCTTTTTTGGATGCGAATAAAACATAGTATTATAAGGTATGGATCGATAGATGCTTGAGAAGTGATATTACATGTCACGAATACCTGGGAAATTGGCTTTATGTTGCAAATCTATAGAGGTTGGGACAGAATACAATCGACGCATTACAGTGAAACGTATACAAGCAAAACATCAGAAGCACTGTTAACAAACAACTAAAAGTTAAATAGTTTGCACACTCTTGAGCTTCAATTTCTTTTTATTTATTTAACACTGTCCTGACTTACTGTATTGAAACAGGCAACATTTATTTATTTATTTAGCGTATGGCTACATCACAGGTTCATATATATACATATAATATAAATTATATAAATTACAAACAACAGTAAATACAAAAATATTATTCTACAAACAAACATCTAGATTATAAATATATTCGATTGACTCTTTTGTAGCAGCCAGGAAATCTGAAGGGTTGCCGTTATAGGATCTAATCGTGCATTCCTCTACCATGTGTTTTACTGTTTGCCTTTCGGCGCCGCAGTCGCAATTTGGTGATTGTATTTTTCCCCATCTAAAAAGTGAGTCGGAACATCTGCCACAGTTCGTCCTTATTCTATTGAGTGTGGTCCAAATTCGTCTCGGTTGGTTGAAGCCCTCAGGTTTGCTTGTAATACATGGCATGTTCCAGTTAGCTGGTGCAGCGTTATTCTCCCATTGTTCTCTCCACCGTTCAGTTACATTAAAGTTTTGATCTACTAGCCTTTTTGCTGTTTTTAGAGGCGGGTGTCTTGAACGGAGCCTATTTATGTCTCTGGTGGAAGTTCCGACATGGGAGCGGAGCTCAGGATCAGTATTGATTTTTGTAAATTCTCTGACAAGGGCATGTTCCCGGCGGATGGGTGGTGGAGCTATATGACTCAAAGCTGGTAACCAGTAAGTGGGAGTGGCCTTGATTGTGCCCGATATAGTTCGCATGGCTTGGTTGAGTTGAACATCAACACGGTGAGTATGTGGACTGTTTATCCATACTGGTGCACAGTATTCCGCTACGGGGTATACCAGTCCTAATGCTGTCGATCTAAGTGTGGATGCTGAGGAGCCCCATGTAGTGCCGCAGAGCTTTTGCAGGATGTTGTTACGAGTTCGGAGTTTTGCAGCAGTCTTAGTAAGATGCTCTTTAAAGTTCAGCGTTCTGTCAAGTGTAACACCTAAGTATTTTGGGTGTTTATTATATTTAAGGAGTCTATCCCCAAAATTGATTTGAGGTTGATAGTTGGCCATCTTGTTATACAAGTGGAAGCAGGACACTTCTGTCTTAGTTGGATTGGGTTGCAATCTCCATTTGTGGAAATAATTCCCTAGGGCAATTAAATCGTATGTTAGAATGCGTTCAGTGACCTCGAATTCTTTATGACTTGCGGCAAGCGTCCAGTCGTCTGCATATCCAAATTTTTTGATGTGGTTTCTGGCATGTCTGCTATGTAGAGGTTGAAAAGCATGGGAGCCAGCACGGATCCTTGTGGAAGTCCATTATTCAGTTTTCTTTGGGTACTAGTCTTGTCTCCCAATATAACTTTAAAGCATCTGTTGGATAGCATGGCGTTAGTAACCTCAGTGGTCTTTCTGCATGGGATTATTCGCATTAATTTATATATTGTCCCTTGTCGCCACACAGTGTCATAAGCAGCAGATAGATCGATGAAGACAGCGGTTGTTTTTGATTGCTTTTGAAAGTTTGATTCCACATAATTGGTCAGGGCGAGTACCTGGTCTGTGCAGCTGCGGTTTGGCCGAAATCCTGGCTGTTCCACTCCTAACAGGCAACAATATCTCAAAAATCTAGTTCTTTCAGATGAGATTTATGCATTGAAAAATATACAAACACATAATACAAAATAAAAAAACCCAGTCATTAACAATATTAACAATGCTGTACGATTATATATATATATATATATATATATATATATATATATATATATATATATATATATATATATATATATTTAAGATCAAAAGAATTTTGGGATCCATTGTGTTATTCTTACTGTCGTTTGCCCTGATAACGGCAGTAGAGTATAAGGCTGTTTTACATTTAGCTCAATGTTATTATTTACAAATTTAAAATGTTATGGCTCTCTGTTTATTTAACAACGTTATTTTCCTCGGCTAGTATTATTTTAAATTGCCGTTATGGAAATTTTATATAAAAGTGTTAAAAAGTGTATATATTTTCTAAAATAATCGATTTGTTAACTTATATGATTAAAAAATCCTTGAGGAAATGGGCGCTTGTTTAATCCGCATGCCATTTAGTGTAACAGTTTTTGACGCATCACAATAAACTATAAAAGAACATTGTAGTGGACTACTCAAGTCTGATGTCACACGGGAGAGGGACCTTATATGATCCTGTCGAAACAAACTTTTAATTCCGGGTACAGGTCTACAAGAGATTTTATTTATTTATTCCTTAGTGTCTTAAAAATAAGGAGGCTAGTTAATTTAGGTAAACGCTTAAATATATCAATTCTGTATAACAATCGACAGTGTACTCTCATTTATAATAGATTGAAAAATAAGTTAATAATTAAAATTAAATATGTCTTACAGGCTTTTATAAATGATTAATAGTCTGCTTGGTAAGGTTCATAAACTCCAACTAGCTTGTGACACTTCACAACTTTAGTTGGTCCATTGTTACTGATTGTATGAGGTATTCGAGTATGTTATATTACTTAACTTAAAGCTAAAGACATACGTCTTTGTGTTGTGATAGAGACGAATGTGTTATATTATTTCTGTAAATACAATTTCGTTGTAATTTTATAGCATATGTATTCTTTTATAGTAAAAGTAAGCAGTATTCGTTTGTGCATTGAATATTAAGAAATTTAAGCGTAGATGTCCGCATGTACCAATATTTTCTATTAAAAGTGCTTTTAGTATGTGTCGTGAAGTAAAACTTATAGAGATTTATTATATTGTAATCTCTCATTTACCCGACAATATGAATACAAAAGTGTTCTTGTGACGAGGAGACACCTGCCTGTTTTGTTAAATCAAATAAATAGACGAAATTTTAACTAACAATCTGTTTCGCTTATTAATATAGATATTTCTCTTAAACACATCATTTATACTGTATATTTTTATAGAAGGGGCAGTAAAAACAGTTACAGTAAAAAGTTTAGAGTTTCGTTCAATGAAAATACAATCCGTTTTCATCCAAATCTAAAATGAACCCACTGTTGTCATGTAAAATTGGATTATATTGCAGACTGACATTTTCATTATTACGTCTCTCTTACAATTGCTTCCAATTTAAATGTGATTAATTTTACCACAGTTTAACACATTAGACATATGCTGTTATTAAAACACTATAAGTATATGTACTTGAAAAATCCTAGTCCACTATAGCTTTTATCTAACTTGAGGTACAAAAATTTTAACTGCAGGTTAAATCAGCTAAAACCTATATATATATATATATATATATATATATATATATATATATCGGTTTTAGAACGTCTTTCGACGTTGTCCGATGCCTAACTTCCACGTCCTTCTATCATCCCATTGGCCGTCTCTAAGATCTCTTGTACTCATTGCTTTAGTTACCCCTTCTTTCCATGTCTTTTTGGGTCTTCCTCGTTTTTTGCGGTTTGGTGGTACCCACTGCATAATCTTCTTGGGTAGTCTTGTGTCTTCCATTCTTTGAACATGACCATACCAAATCAACTGTTTCCTCTCAATGTCTGTTGTTAAGTAACCATCTATTCCAATTCTTCGTCTTACTTCCTCATTTCGAACTCTTTCCCTGCGGGATATACCTAACGATCTTCTAAACACATCCATTTCTACAGCTTCTAATTTTTTTCTGTTGTTCTCGGTTATTCTCCAAGTTTCTGCTCCATAAAGTAGACTGCTTTTAATTAGTGACTCATAGATGTTATATTTTCGCTTTATTCCTATTTCAGAACTCCAAAGTATTCCATTTAGGCAGCCAATTGTTCTTCTAGCTAAAACCTGTTGGTGAAATAATAACTTTAAAGTATTGTTAACTTGAAATAACAGTCCCCAAAGCACAGCAGTTAGTCGACGAATTATTTATACTGCTCTAAAAAAACCCTGTTATTTGTAACAGTGATTATCACAAACTATCGTATTTTATCACTGGTGAAAAACCGCAGATTATTTATGTTTCTTAAAGAGATTCTCTTCTTCATGTACCATGTCCTTTCAGAACGCTGGTTACCATCATAGCTATCTTACTTTTATTCACTGCCATCCTAAATAGCATGCTGGTATCAACACCATACCGATATCGCAAGTTCTTCAACTATGAGGTTCTTCTTCGTCCTGGACTGCGTTTGGCTGCTATTTTTCCTTGCATAATATTTTGTAGCAACCTATATTTGGGACATCTCATTACATGTCCGAAATACTCCAGCTTTCTCTGCTTGACGCTTTTTATGATCTCAGTAGTCTTGCTGAGACGTTCTAGTGTTGTGGATTTTCGAATTTCGTCCACCCAGGAAACTTTTAAAATTTTTCTATAGCACCACATTTCGAAAGGCGGTTTAGATCGATTTTATTCACAGTCCAGGACTTGACACCATAAAGTAAGACTGAGAACACGTAACAGCGATGTAGGCGGATCCTCAATGCCAATTTTAGGTCTCTGTTACATAACACCTTGGACATCCTTCTAAAAGCAGCTCTAACCTGCTCTATTCTAGATCTAATTTCGCCGCGACTTTCTGCGTTACAGTTTAATTGCTGTCCAAGGCCAACGATTTTATCAACTTGCTGAAGTTTGGTATTATTTACATATATAGACGATTTTATATGGTGTTGTATTTTGGTTTTTCGTATGTTCAGATCCAGACCTGCCTCCCTACAACTCTCAACGACACTATCAAGAATTGTTTGCAGATCTTCTTGACTAGAAGTTAGGAGTTCTGTATCGTCCGCATATCGCAAATTATTGATGACTTCGCCATTCACAAGTATTCCTTCTTGTTTTTCAGAAAGTGTTTTTCTAAAAATTATTTCGGAGTTGAAAAGCAGGGGTGACAAGAGGCATCCCTGCCATACTCCTCTTTTAATATTGAGAGCCTGTGATTCTACACCATCTACCAAAACTGATGTTGTTTGATTCCAATATAAATTTGCAATTATTCGAACATCTCTACCGTCCAAGCCAATGTCTTTTAGAGTTTCGCTCAATATAGAGTACTTAACACGATCAAATGCCTTTTGGAAGTCAATAAAACAACAGTATATGTCTACAGATATATCTCGACATCTTTGAGCAAGTACGTTCCTTCCAAACAGTGCCTCTCTCGTTCCAAACCCGTTGCGGAAACCAAACTGAGTGGCATCCAAGTATTCCTCATTTATTGTAGATACGACCATGTATTTCGTTGTTGTTCGCTAGTCGCCGTCGTTCCATCAAATCCAATATGTCATCTGTCATCCAATCCTGCTTTTTTAGCTTTGACCTGGCTTTTAAATTTCTCATACAGATTTATTTTACTGTTGTTACGATTTTATTTAAGCCCTCATCAACGTTTTCACCAATATTTTACCAAATTAAATTTTCGTTCAGTTGTCTTTGAACTGATTCCTTTACTTTCTTGTCTTGTAATTGGGCTGTATCAATATTATTGCGAGACTTCATTTTGATCACCTTTTTTAATTTTAATTGGGTTACAGCTACTATGGGATTGTGATCGGACCCAATGTCAGTACCTGGATTAGTTTTAACTGATTTAATGCAGTTTCTAAACCGATTTTTTATAAGAAGGAAATCGATTTGGTTCCTAATAATTTTGTCCTCTGATGTGTAGAGTGTAGAGTCTTCTCGGTGGTAGTTTAAAGTAAGTATTCAATATATTGTTGTATAGAAGATTTGGAGAACCTGACGTTGTAAAATTCATTAAGGTAGCACGCCTTAGATGGATAGGTCATGTAATCAGACGAGAGGAAGACGCCATAGTCAGAAAAGCTTTTGACCGAAAAGGGCCGATCGGACAACGAAGAAGAGGAAGACCGAGACTTACGTACCAATACAACCTAGAAAATGATTTGAAGTCTATCGGAATTAGAGCATGGAGAAGAGTCGCCAGAGAGAGGGGCGAATGGAGGATTGTTCTGAAGAAGGCTTTGGCTCATAAAGAGCTGTAACGCCAATGATGATGATTCGATATAATGAAATCGTGATAAAGGGGATTGAAGACATACGATTATACCTTTTTAGTTTATTATTAAAGAAATAAGTAATGTCTTTAAATAAGTTTAATGTGTTTCTTCCGATATCTGTTCCAACTGCAATGATATTTTGATCTTATAATAGAAAAGCTTAAGTCAAGCCAGAGGATAGACAACATTGAATATTACAAATGAAACATCAGTTTATGGAATGAATAACAACTGAGTAAAAGTAGGGCGTATTGAAGAAACTATTAGTTATTTAAATATTAGTATTCGTCACATAAAATCACGCGAAAACTGACCTAGATATTTAAAACACTTAATAAAGAAGCAGTTAATTATATGAAGGGAACAAAATTCGCGACTGCATGATAAAAGATTCCTTGAGTGTCAATAATTTGGTCATTTTTTATTTTTGCTTAAAATGACTAATTTTTATTGATTTTTTTTTTTTTCGCCATTTTTTTTTATTCCTGTGGAATAAATTTGCGTTTTCTAGTGTCTTCTCGTGTTAATATCTCCTGTATAAAAGCTAAATAATATAAACCAAATATAAAATCTGTTACACAACTGTCATTAGAGATTGAAATAAGGCTTAAGCTTTTTAACTTGGCTACAATAGTACCTATTGATAACAGGTTTTGTTTAATATCTCTACACTTATGCCTGTAAACTGTAGAATCTGTTCCTATTGTCAGCATTATGTTACACATTAACTGCCGATATCTGTTCTTTGTTAAATAATTGCCAGAAAATTTCGTCTAATCTGTAACGCCATAAATGCAATGTAAAAATTAATCTTAGTATACTTGTGAGTGCAGAAGGTGTGCTATTGCCTTTTTAAATATGTGGCATAGTTACATTATATTATCGTTAGATGTATTCCTATCCAGACTTCGTTCCAACACATTCCAACGACGATGAGAAGAATAAGACGCTTGTAATTGATATTTACATTTACAAAAATGATATAAATCAATTCACAGCCAAAAAGAAGCGGGCAAACTGACCTTGGTCAGGTGATGTTCACAATTTCACGCGCTTGTATTTGCTGTGAATATATATTTAGTAATAAAATATATACTTTTTATCAAAACGGTCTTTTCTTGACAATACAACACGCGCAAACCGTCATATTTTAATATTATCTCAGCCGTCGCTTACCTCTTCGCCCCCTTCTAATCAGACTGTAATCCAGGTCTTGGAACGGGCTTTGGTTAAGAGTACGATTAACACTAGCATAATGCAGGTGTGTTATAACTAAAAATAAAAAGAATCCTACACTTACGGACACCTACGATATGTGTTAAGCACTGTTAAAATGCTATAGTTCTATTATAAGGAACAAAAAAGATGAATATGCAAGAAATTAATAATATTGTTATAAATTACCAGAAGATAAGTGTTAACTGTACTTCATAGAGTCTAGATTATCCTAATAATACTTAGATAATAATCAGTTTTAAGATTTTCAAAGTGAAAAATTCTACCATTCGCAAGATGTAGTAGACTGATTATTTTCCGAAATGCATTTTGCATATCAAAAATAAAACGCCAATATGGCAAAATATTTTCGACGAAAGTTTGGTAATATTTCAGATAATAAAACGCACAACGATTTGGAATGGTTACTTGTGGAAAATTCCATATCAAATTATTATATTTATCAATACTGATCGAATTCGATATAATCAATTAACTATTTAATTTTTTTTTGTTATTGTTAATAAATAGAAATAAATAAATCAAATAGAAAAATAAAGGAAAAACCAAGATCAATTTCACACAGATTATGCTGACATTGACATTTGACTTAAGATAAGTAACGATACTTTATAAAAAATCAAATACTTAAGTAACAATATTTTTATATACCATACATAAACAAACAATGATGAGATGCAAAAATGAAATATTACCAATTCGTCCTCTTAGGTTTTAACCGAATTCAATCTAAAGTAATAACGTAACTATTTATTTAATTAGTATTACAACTTTAAATTTATGAAGCGAATCATAAAACAGTTATAACCTAAGAATAATTACAAGATCTCAATAAATGGCTATGAAGCCGAAAAAAAAGTAATAATTTTGATATGTTGTGCTACACATTGTTAATCTGCATTGTATATTACTTGAAATATTTTGTCTTCAAGAAATATTCCAGATTCAAGCCAATTCATTAAACTTAATATAATAGAAAGGATATTATGAACTTCTGAAGAAAAGATAATATATTTGAACTGATTTTACCATTTTTTATTTATTTAATTTTTTTAGTTCATTCAAAATATTCATTCTTCTATAAATGGTTTAAATATATGATAAAGTTTATCTCTAACAGACCATAAAGCTGTAACATATAATATAATACAATAAGTATAAGGTGAAAATCTATTTGTGTTTCTGGAATATCTCGTGTAAACAAGTATTTAATTTATGGTCTAAATGTTGGACACAACCTGCCAAAGTATGTTGTGGTCAATATGCATCTTTTAAAATAATTTCTTTGTGCTTAAATGTAATTTTTTAAAGAATATAAATAGCGGTTCTAAGACTACACGTTGTTGTTTTTCCTTTACGTTTATATCCCTTATATCAGCGGAGTCATCTCTTAAAATTATTCCTAAAGATAACTCATAAGAGAATCTACAAGCTGTGTGAAAGTCAAATTTCCCCCAACCAGTTCGGGTTCACAAACGCTATTGGTACTAGAGAGGCTTTGCAGAAACGTCAACTGCGACGTATCCGCATGTCTGGTTGATTACGAGAAAGCGTTTGATCGAGTGCAGTACGCCAAGATGATGCAAATACTAAAAGAAACAGGAATTAACAAGCAAGATCTGAAAATATTTAGAGATCTTTACTGTAATCACACAGCAAATCTCAGAGTTGAAGGTGAACACACTAACTATGTGAAAATCATGCGTGGAGTGAGGCAAGGCTGTATTTTGTCTCCTCTAATCTTCAATAAATAAAATAAAAATAAATCATCAACAAATGATATTAACATTCTAAATGACATAATAGTAGAAGCAATAACAGAAGCTCAAAAGAAATGCTGCCCAAAAAGCGTTAAGGAAGAAAAAAAATTAGTCTGGAAACACAGAAAAAAATGGAACAAAGAAAAACACTGAGAAGCGACGAAAACTCTAGTAACGACGACATAAATAGAATGAACAAGGAAGTATCAAGAGAAATCAGAAAAGACTTAAGAAAATACAAAGATGAGAAAATCATCAAAACCATTGAGGAAAATAAGAGTATGAAAATAATGAGACGCAAACTCACAAATGGAAATAAACAAATAGTCAAACTCAAGGATAGAAATGGCAACATCACATCAAACAGAGAATATTTGTTACAAATTGTGGAATCATTCTATGAGACATTATATAGCAACCAATCGACTCTAGATATAGTCGAATATCAACAGAGGAAGGTTCAAAATCAGGGTTCCGAAGATATTCCAGAAATCTCCTTGAACGAAATTTACAAGGCCCTAAAAAAGATGAAGAATAATAAAGCTCCGGGGGAGGACGGTGTCGTCACGGAAGCGATAAAGATAGGAGGCTCAGTACTGATCGCCAAAATTCAAAAGCTCTTTAATCTATGCCTATGGAATCAAAGTATCCCAACAAAGTGGAATAATTCAATAACTGTACTCTTACACAAAAAGGGAGATATAGCAGACCTGGAAAGATACAGACCAATCAGTCTCCTTAACCATCTTTATAAATTATACACCCGAATAATAACGAATAGATTAGAGACAAAGCTGGATTTTTACCAACCTCGAGAACAAGCTGGTTTCCGCCCTAATTACGGCACAAACCATCACCTGTAGTGCCTAAAAACCCTAATAGAAATAACTAACGAATATAACCGTCCCTTGGCATTGATATTTGTAGACTTTAAAAAGGCGTTTGATACAGTCGAACTACCGTCCATCTTAAGAGCACTACAAAATTGCAGGATCGACCACAGATATTGTAATATAATTAAAAATATATATGAAAATGCCACAACAACCATAAGTCTATATTCTGCAACTAATAAAATAAAGATAAAAAGGGGAGTCAGGCAAGGTGATACCATGTCACCAAAGCTGTTCATTACCGTTCTTGAGTATGCATTTAAAAACTAACATGGCAACAGAAAGGAATATCCATCGATGGAGAAAGATTAAACCATCTACGTTTTGCGGACGATATCGTGCTTCTTTCAGATAATCTGGGAGAGATCAAAGACATGCTCCAAGAACTGAATGACATACTACAAGAAACTGGGCTGGAGATAAATTTCGAGAAAACCAAAATGATTACCAATATGGTTCCCAGTGAAGAGATACAGATCAATAACAACAAGGTAGAATTAATCGATAAATACACATACTTGGGTCATGAAATTAGAATAGAGACAACCAAACCTGCGAGCTAAATAGACGAATCATGTTGGGATGGGCGGCATATGGACGGATGAGAGACATTTTTAAAACAAATATCCCGATTCACCTGAAAAGGGAGGCATTAAACCAATGCATCTTACCAGTCTTGACTTACGGAGCAGAGACCTTAACTTTAACGAAAGCTACTGCCGAAAAACTAAGGTTAACACAAAGGCGAATGGAGAGATCAATGCTGGGCCTGACCTTGAAAGATCGCGTAAGAAATGAGGAGATACGCCGACGAACTGGCGTAGACGATATTATACTGCGAATCAATAAACAAAAGTGGAGGTGGGCTGGACATGTTGCTAGAATGGAAGACGGAAGATGGACGAAGAGATTATTGGAGTGGAGACCAAGAGCCGACAAGCGAAGTCGAGGCAGACCACCCACCCGATGGACCGACGACCTAAGGAGAATAGAAACAAACTGGATTGCAGCAGCTAGAGATAGAGAGAACTGGAGACGTTTGGAGGAGGCCTATATCCAACAATGGATGTGAAAATTGAATGATGAATCTTCAATATGTACTCTGAAAGAATATTTATCGAAGTTTTACAGGAAACTGAAAAAGGTATTCTACTAAATGGTTACCAGCTAAACAACATCAAATATGCAGATGACACCATAGTATTTGCGAACAACAATCTCCCCGAAATTATTTACAACCGCTGACTCGAATATATATTCAAGCAAATGGTACAAGAAGATAAAATGGGAATTATTATAAATGAAGAGGATCTAACTTAAGATTTGCCGATGGCAGTTGACAAAGCTACAAAATATTGGAAACGCTGTATGAAGCATCAAAAACAATTGGTCTTAAAATTACCACCTCAAGGACAAAATGTATGACCAACCTTGCAGTCAGCGAGAAAATTCAGATTGAAAGCCATAGCATCGACCAAGTAATAGCTTACAAATATCTAGGGCATGAGATTCGCTTAGGCCAAGATAATCCTACAACTCAAATATAAAGAAGGATATGTCATACATAGGCTGTCTTAGGTAAATTGAATAACATTTTCAAATCTAATACTCCAGTTTGTGTAAAAAGGAAGGTTTTTAACCAATGTGTTTTACCGTTTTTAGGGTATCTACTAAATGTTCTTGGAATAAATCAATAGACTTAAAGTTTTTCCTACAAGTAAAAAGTAATTGATCACTCGAACACTCACCCTTATGTCATGATTATTTGATTATCAGATAAAAGTATCAAATGTAAATAATCACTTTCACTTTAAAACAAAACAAACTAAGCACTACAAATGGCCTTGTTGCCAACTACTAGGATTACCTGAACTTATCAACGTTTTCCCCTGTTTGGAATGGACATGTCAAGTTCTTGTCCTGTACAGGGTTTTTTAAACACTTATATATTTTGACGTATCGAGTGATTACTCTGTATTGTGTTACTCTTAAAAACAATATGTAATTAAAGCTACAAAGTGGTATTAAAATCAAGAAATGTCAAAAAATGGACTTATCGAGTTCTTTCCCTGTGGTCTTCTTATATTTGTACATTGCTGAACGTAGGCCTCACCTAAAATGTTCCACTGATTTATATCTTGAGCTTCTTGCACCCAATTTGTGGTGATTCGCTTTATATCATCCGTCCATCTAGTCGGTGGTCGTCCTCTATTTCGATATGCCTCTTGTCTTGGTCGCCGTTTAAGAATCTTTCTGGTGTATACATCATTCATCAATCTGGTCAGATACCCGGCCCAAACCCATTCAGCTATTTTTTAACTGCATCTGTGACTCCTGTTCTTCTTCTCATTTCTACGTTTGGTACTTTATCTCTAATGGTAATACCCATCATTGATCTTTCCATAGCGTTTTGTGTTACTCTTATATTATTTATTGTTCCTTTGGTTAGAGTTAGTGTTTCTACACCATAAAAACCTTGGCCAGATTCAGGGAATTCTGATTCTCAGGATCCTTTAATGATGTAGAAAAAAAAGTAACAAATGCTCTGGAATATTATCATGAAAACTATCTGAAGGTAGAAGTTATAGAGGCGCAAACATAGACTCAGATCATTACCTAGTTGTCTCAATATTAAGTTCTGGAATTTCAAAAATCAATAGAGAAAATAAAATGGATAGAAAAATGGAATGTGCAAAAGCTGAAAGATGCGATAAGCCTACAGAAAGATGCTTACCCGACGAACTAGAACAACTATAGAGAATTATCAGAAAAAGAGAAAAGACGAAAAAAGGAGGATACACAAGAGAAAAAACGAAACCACTTAAATAAGACACTTAAATATATAGAAAACCTCAACAGAGCGAAAGAATCCAAAGCATTCTATAAGAAAGTTACCATCAACACGAAGGGATTCAAGGCCAGAATGGTAGAACCAGGCACTTAATATAGAGGAAGAAGAAAACAACCTGGAACACGAAAGAGATGAGGTAAGCGTAACAGACGCGAGGGGAGAAACCACCAACGATTCTTGAAGTTAAAGATGCATTTAAAAAACTAGCCATGAGCAAATCACCCAGAATAGATAATCTCCAAACTGAACTACATAAAAAAAGGTGGTCACGATACCATAATGGCACTACAGCAGCTAATAATAGAAATATGGACACAGAAGTGATTGGAATTTTGGAATAGTTTGAATGCTCTAACCATAGAGGAATTACGCTTATAAATGCAGCGTATAAAATAATTTTCACAGCACTATGCCACCGTATGGCACTATATGCAGAACGAATAATAGGGAAATGCCAGGCTGGTTTCAGAGGTAGTAAATCGACAATTCGTGAGATTGCAACCCTGAGACAAATTTTAGAAAAAACACTGGAATATGACGTAGATACAAATCAGCTGGTAAATTAAACTAAACTAACCTTTTAAAATAAAAAAAACTGCCAAGGTGACCCTCTCCTGTATACTGTTCAATCTAGCTATGGAAAAAGTAATACGTAGGTACGTCATAAATCACAACCAACGGTTCAATGTATAATAAATCAGTGCAAATCCTTGCCAATGCGTATGATATCAATATTGTTGGGAGAACGGAAAACGCTGTACCTACTAGAGGTGTATGTAGCTATAAAAGAATCAGCTACAAAAATTGGTGTAATAATAAATACCAATAAAACGAAGTATCTATATGAAAATAAGCACGCAACCACAAATCCTACAACCACTTGTTAGGTATATATTAACAATGAAAATAATACTACCGCAGATAAACCGCAGAATTTGCCCGGCTAACAGATGCTATTTTTGACTTAATCTTCTTCCTAAATCCTCAATTAGACCGAGGAATACAAAAGTAAAAACCTACAAAACAATAATACGCTCAGTCCTAACATATGGCTCAGAGACATGGACTCTAACAAAAAGTTACGAAAACATGGGATGTTTCCAAAGAATAGTACTAAATCTAATAGGATATACCAGGAACCAGATATTGTAAAACATATTAAGACGTCTGAGGTAGATAGGGCACGTAATGCGGATGGAATAAAATGACCCAGCAAAAAACCTTGACAGACCCATTGGTCAGAGAAGAAGAGGAAGACCGAGAACAAGGTTCCTTGATAACATTGATGAAGACATGAGAAATATGGGAATAAGTTCTTGGCGGAGGAAGGCGACGGATAGGACTGGAGAGAAATCCTGGATAAGGCTAGGACCCACGCAGGGTTGTAAAGCCATAATGATGATAATAAAACTATATGAAGTCCAATCACTCAAAAACACAGGTATGCGCTTCCTATCTCAGAAACAAATATGCCTGAAGGATGTGTACAGCGCAATGTTGTGGTTAGATGCGGTTGTGGTTAGACCATCGAGCAAAAAGATAAAAGAGGGAATCTAATCGTTATGAAAAGGAGACCAAAAAAGTGGCCTCTGATGGCGGACATATCCGGAAATGCAAAGGCGCTAAATTTAAATTTTCCAACACTTGTTAACAATACCTGTAAAATATTTTTCAGATAAGAAAGTTTTAATTAAATATTAACGATAATAGTCTAAAAAGTGACATAATTGGTAAAAAAACTTCAATATAAATAAAATTTCATGTGACAGTTGGGACAAACCATCGAGCAATAAGACAAAAGAGGGAATGTAAAGGTAGTGGGGGTAAACATATTGATAGACAGGAAGTGCCATCTTGAGAGGCCACTTTAGACAAGGATAGACAGTCTCTTTCCTTGTTTAAGAAGTCAAATTTAGTTAGGTTATGTTATTGTTTGTCCCAACTGTCACATGAAATATTATTTATATTGAAATCTTTTACCAATTGTGTCACTTTTTAGACTATTATAGTTAATATTTAATTAAAACTTTCTCGTCTGAAAAATATTTTATAGCTATTGTTAATAAGTGTTGGAAAATTTAAATTTAGCGCCTTTGCATTTCCGGATATGTCCGCCATCAGAGGCCACTTTTTTGGTCTCCTTTTCATAACGATTAGATTCCCTCTTTTATCTTTTTGCTCGATGGGACAAACAATAACATAACCAAACTAAATTTGACTTCTTAAACAAGGAAAGAGACTCTTTCCTTGTTTAAAGTGGCCTCTCAAGATAGCACTTCCTGTCTAACAATATTTTTGTCCCCACTACCTTTACATTCCCTCTTTTATCTTTTTGCTCGATGGGTTAGACACTTAGACACAACGAGATGCCAAAATACCTCAACATTCGATTAGATATACTTACACTCAATGACGTATGCTTACACTGCCTTACCAATACCACAGTATAGTGCTTTAAAAGCACTATACTGTGCCAATACCACTGTCAAACAGTTGGCGATTTAGTATTCGAATTAATTGAGCACTCCCCTTATCCACCAGATGCACTCCGTCCGACTAATGTAAATTTTGCCTGGTTTTGTTCTAAAGGTCTAGAGGCGTTGCAGGTTCGTCGTAATAAATGTTATCCAGTTGGGTTATAATCATCGAGCAATAAGACAAAAGAGGGAATCTAATCCTTATGAAAAGGAGACCAAAAAAGTGGCCTCTGATGGCGGACATATCCGGAAATGCGAATGCGCGAAATTTAAATTTTCCGACACTTATCAACAGTAGCTATATAATATTTTTCAGAATGTGTCTTAGACGAGAAAGTTTTAATTAATTATTAATGATAAGAGTCTAAAATGCGACACAATTGTTAAAAAACTTCAATATAAATAAGATTCCATGTGACATTTGGGACAAACAATAACATAACCCAACTAAATTTGATGTCAAACAAGGAGAGAGACCCTCTATCCTTGTTTAAAGTGGCCTCTAAAGATCGCACTTCCTGTCTAACAATATGTTTGCCACCACTACCTTTACATTCCCTCTATTGTCTTTTTGCTCGATGGTTATAATACAACTATAATATAATTTCAAAAATTAACTTTTAAATTTTTTTCGGTTTTTCGGAAAATAGTGCTTTTTTCACAAATATATTTCTCTGCTAGGTACTTCTTAGTTGACATGTGAATAAATAACATCATTTTTTGTAAATTTATAGTCTGAAAATATAAATTTGATTTTATAGAAATTTTATATTAAATTTTATAGACAATTATAGGATAGGCAATCTACATTGTAAGTCTGTAATCAATATTGCCTAACTTAGCCATATCGATAAAAAAAATGTGAGCCAATTTACATCAAATATAACTTACGTTATTAAGTACGTTAATTGTATGTTATATAAAACTTATAACTTTTTTTATTTTAATCAAAATTTTCACAACAAGGAAATATTTATTTAATTTTTAACAAAAATAACACAGAAATTTACCTACGTTAGCTGTCAGTTTCTGCCAATAGCGTTTGTACTTATTGTATGTATCTCTCTCTATCCTTTTTTAAATATCCAAGATCTCGACCAATAATATAATATCCTTTCCGTTACTGTTCGAACTGTACATAGTCTTTTCTCGAACGTTGTTTGCTTGCGGTTAATTTCTGACAGATCATCTTGTACCTTTGTTTTGGTAGGAATAAATAACGAACGATATAACAAGAAACCATGGCAAATTTTAAGACATTATTAGTGTTATCTATCTTGTTTTATCTAGAAGTAACAGGTAAGAAACATATAATTAATTTTTTGATCACTCATAATGTTACGCCACTACGTTGCTACGAAATACTAGGAATGTCGGACTTCTTCAATATTGGTGCAATGAACATAACCTGGCATCCAGCTATATGTTTGTGTGACACAGTGTTGCCACTTTTTTTTGTATAAAGTATAGGAGTGTTTAAAATAGAAAGATACTTTGACGAAATTATATATGCTTTAAAAAACTTATACAGAAGTAAAATGCTTCACATTTGTATTTAGGTATATACTTAGGTAAATGTGAAGTGTTTTACTTCTGTAAAATGTAAAAATGTACACGCCACAGCCACAATTTTTGAATTCATATTAAAAAGCATTCATAAAATAGTATTTTTTATTTTAAATATAGCTAAATACTTTTGTTTAACCTAATTTTTTTTCATTTAACTTTACTTTATTCTGTAATTTATAAAGTTTCTAAACTATTAATTTTTAAGCATAATTTTAATGGTTTTTATTATATAAGTATTTTTAAATGTAGAAATGCAAGATATAATTTTATTTTATAATATTTATAGGTATAATTTTAATGAATTATATACCTATGTATAGGTAAAAATATATATATTTTTCACATTTTTGTTTAATTATATATGTATTTTTCAATTTTACATTTTCATTTCATATAATAATATTTGCCAATAATTGCAATCATTGCCAATAATTTTATATGTGAGAGTGGGAAATATTTGAGTATATGGCAACACTGACGTATATTAAGCTTACATTTAACGTCAAACATATCAACGAGGTTATGTTCATTGCACCAATATTGAAGAAGTCCGGAATGTCCTAGATCAATTTTTTTCTTCATTGTTTTTACCCGTCTTGTAGTTAGACTACGTACGTAATGTAAACCAATTAAGTTATTTTTCTAAAAGATGTACTGCAGTATCTTTATTGGGAGCATTATTTGAAAAAAATTGCATAAAAATTAATATCTAATTTTTACCAGTCATATTCCATTATAAATTATCAGAAAAGACCACATTAAAACCACATCTGGTTTTGTTCAAATTGTTGATTGTATGTATTGTTATATTATTATCAAATCGTATTAGCATCATAAAAACCTGCCAAATAAAGCTCTAAATTAGATTTGATATTTTCAATTATTTTAGATATGGGTATTTTCATGCTTCAAAAAAATGTGGGTTTGTCAATAAAACCCATTATTGAGTGGCTGAGTGCACATTCTTCATGTTTTTTTCTTACAGCTCTATCCTTTATAATTTGTTAATTTTATCCTTTCATATAAAATGTTTATAACATTAATTAATTATTCAAAACTTTTCTTCATTTAATTATTATCATATCTTAATAGCACTTTGTAAAAGGCCATTAAAAACTTCTATCCTTACTTCTCTTTTGAATAAAGCTTGCCAATTATAAACATTCTATTCATAGTATATATTTTGGGTGTAATGTGCTTAATTTCTTAGTATTTGGCACATTTCTGTCCAAGATGATTTCTGATCAAGATTTTGTTTGGGTTTTGAGTTTGGAAGCAACATTATGTGTTTGCTTCAGTATCTTACCCATTATAGGCATCTAATTTTTATTGCAATAACTACAGCTTTGGCTATCAGCTACAGTTGGGCCACTGAACAGATAGAATTATCATGTGAACCCCATGCACTGGTTACGAGTTGCAGTTGAAAATCTCACAAGTTCTGTTTACACTAGGTCAAGAAGAGATGTACAATTATCACAGTAAATGTGGTAAAACCCATAATATACAAATTGAAAACTGTATAACAAATTTGCCACTGTAATAATGGAGTTATGATATTTACAATTTATTAGTAGAATTTTTTATCAGTAGAATTTTTTCGACCTACCAAACTAGAAAGTCTGTGTCAAACAGATCACTGTTGGCCTCTTTTCTTATACGAATTCCATGGGGCAAAAAAAAAACAAGAAGAACAGCGTCTAAATCTCGGCATGTTGTCACATTCCAGAAGAGAGTCTTCAATGACAGCCAGAGAGTATTGATACATCAACAAGCTCCTCGGTAGGAAAATGCCAGTTTGGTGAAAATTGTAATAATTGTGCCTGTGATAAAACATGACTAGCACAATCAGAGAGATTTTGATTAGAAGGCATATATTGCCTAGTAGAGTGTGGTATCAGTTCTTGCATGTGTTGAATCGGAAGAACATCGGAAGATCGGAAGGGGAACCCTTTGACAAAGGTGACTAGATCAGCCAGCAATATGGCTGCCAAGAGCTCCAATCTTGTAGAGTCAGAGCGAGCATGAAAATTGGATGAGACTCATTGACAAAAGTGACTAGATCAGTCAGCAGTATAGCTGCCAAGAGCTCCGATCTTGCTATAGATGTTCTTGTATAGAAATAACACCACAAAAGGAACACATACAAGTACAGATTTCAGTTATATCTGTTCAGATGTTTCATCATCCCAGGATACATTAAAGTACCACAATGGTTGTAGAAGACGTTTGACTAGCAAAAAGACATGGAAAAGGAATAGAAACAAGAGGATAGAAAAAAATATATGACTGATTTACAAACAAATAGCCCGCTTGGTATAAGGTTTATCAAAGGAAGGAGAATAATAAGAAAAGAAGTCAGTTGTAGGGTCCCATTTTAGGCCTAGTACCGTAGAAATGGAAGGGTCCTCTTTGTCAACGAACATGTCAAAATATCTGAGTCAAAGCCTTGAAAATAAACGAAGATGGTTGCTGACGTTGTTGATTTGTTTAGCGAAAAAACATCAAGCTTTAAAAGCTAAACGAGTGCTTACTGCAGAAGGTGAGTAGATAAAAGAGAATCACTTGAAGCGTGATTCTGACGGAAGGCCGTCGAGATGGTGACTAGCCCATTGCCTAGCGAAAAACCATCGAGTTTTCAGAGCTAAGCAAGTGCTTACTGCAGGTGAGTAGATAAAAGAGAATTACTTGTAGCATGATTCTAACGGAAGGCTGTCGAGGGGGTTGTTGGCCCATTGCCTAGAGAAAAACCATCAAGCTTTAAAAGATAAGCGAGTGCTCACTGCAGAAGGTTAGTATAAAAGAAGATCCAAAACAACAAAAGAAGTCAAATTCTCTGTACTTAAAACCAGACATATGTTTAAGCCAGTTTAACAACGAGATTTTACGAAATAACAGGAAATAATATCTTTTAAAGCAGTGTCGTTAGAATATACCATTAAATTAGATCATATTATAGTACAGTAAAAGAAAAAAAAATGTATAAAATATGAAAATAAATATCACATACTTTCCCAAACACTAAGTTATAAAGGAAAATTTCTTCTCCCTAATTTACTGATAATAGCAGCATAATTTTACCAGCTGTAAATGTAAAACAGTTCTGCTCACCAATGATAATATGTGTACAGTGTCATGAAAGTAATTTTGTTACAAGTGATTCAAATAGTTTGAAAATCACACTTTGCTTTCTGATGAAAAATAGTTTTTTACATTTGACTTCTCTCCATATTTATGTATTGAGATGTTAAAACTGTTTTTCCACATATTAGGGAAACCTCCACTGACTAGTGATTGGTTAAAAAGCATGTAAATGGGTTTATTTAACAGGTGGCTGCTGTGTGTAGCGCCAGCTGTCATCTGAAACATTAGTACCATACCAGTGGATCTAGTGGCACTTGGAGATATATCAGAAATGATCACTGGCTGTTATTTATCGTTTGTGGTAATATATGTGAGTAATTTGTTGGCAGCCAACCTGTTCAAGTATAAAAAAACCTAGTAAGAATATTAGATAGAATTACTGCATGAGAGTGCAGTGAACATCTTGGAATTACGGGTCGTTTATGTGGTAAGGTTCAAGTCATATTCATAGGCCAATATCTGGGTAGGTTTATTAAATATTATACTGCAGTATTATATATAATTTTCTATTATATATAATATATCTTTTCTTCGTTTTGATTTTTGGTTGAACTTTGATAAGACTGGGTCTTCCAAACTCTTCGCAACATTGCGGCCCCCCACCCCGTATCCGATTATCAGAGGTGTGGATTTCCACCCGGGGGTGTGTTTCTGTATTTGGCTTTTTCATCTTGCGATTTTCGTTCTTCTTACCCTTACGTTTTTCTGTGTGTTTGGTTGCTAATTCCTAACGCCACAACCCCCGTTTGGAGGACCTTTTCTTCAGCCGCCCATTCTGAATCAGACGCTCTGGTTCTTCCGCCCTCTCGACCATTGTGACTTTTCCACCCATCCTCTGCTCTCGAGACCGTTGTCCGGTTTTCACCTGTACCCCAGGCAGGGACCCTCGCAGAGTGCTATCAGCCAAGTCAGCTCAACCCTGGTTTTTTTTAGAGGTGTTACTCCTCTATCCCTCCTCTTTTATCCGGGCTTGGGACCGGCCTGCATCGGTTATAGAGCTACTCAATTCACCCCATATCAATCCAGACAGAGTTTATAATTTTCTCTAGTGCAATTATTCTAGTCTTTAAAGTAACTAAATTAAACACCAGGTACTATCAACAATATTATCAAAAATTACAAAAATAGGTAGTTTTTTTTATTCCAATTTCCAATTTTTTAAAATAATAATCCAATATGTGGGGTGGACTACTTTTTTGTGTTGACTTTATCACTAATTTTTTTGACAATTTCTGACAAATGACTAAAAACAAAAATTATCAATTTTTGTTTATTTAAATTAACACAACTGCAAGGGATGGTTATTACTAGAATCTGATCCCAACATCTGATCAATGTATGATCAATGTTCTAACTTTCCTTACTACAGGTGTATATAAACTTAGAACTCACAAAGTAGTAGTGTACTCAAGCTTCTTGTATGGTTTGTGTAATCAAGAAAATGAATTGCCTTTATGTTCACATGTTGGTGAAATCTTTGCTCGTGACTTTTGGCACTTTTGATTATAGTTTGAATGAAACTTGGGTTTGAAATATATTTGCTATATATGTCAATTAGCAGAATACATCAAAAAAGAGACCAAAAAGACTGTAATACCAGTTAAATATAATAATTTCTAATATACAAAATTGGAAATATTTATATATTATTTACTTAATTTTTCAGAAGGCACTAACGGCATACGACCAGAACCATTTCACGTAACAACACACCAACCTACTTCTCCAACAGCAAATTCTAGTTCAATTTCACCTAAAACCACCTCCACGACAACTACCTCTACTACCCTCAAACCTGATACAACTACTGTTAATCCGAATATAACTACCAGTTCTACAACAAAAACAACAACAACTACTACTACTACTACTCCAAAACCTACTACCACTACCGTTACTACTCCTAAGACAACTACCACTTCCACTCCGAAGCCTACTACAACTCCTACAGCAAAAACTACCACTCCTATTACACCTACACCAAAACCAGTTCCTGAACCATCAATAGGCAAATGGTCCCTCAACTATACCAACTCAAATGACAGTTGTTTATTGATGGACGCAGCCTTGCAGATTGAAATCCCCAACGGTAATCTTTCCTCCCTGAAGATCAATATTCCTGTGAATGCAACAGTTGTGGGCAATTGTGGCAAAGATTTGGATGTTCTGATACTATCTTGGGAGACAAACATCATCAACATGAATTTTGTACAAAACACAACTGACAAAAAGTTTGCATTGGGATCAATTATGGGTTTGGTAAATGTTGCCCTCTCTAATGGTAAGTGTTATTGACTTTTATATAACATTTTTTTTAATTTCTTCTTTATAATAGAATATATTTAAATTCGATAAACTGCATCAACCAATAAAAGCTGCACCCAGACATTATTATAATGTGTATATATTCATTATAGTAATGTAGTTATATATCATAGATACAGTAGAACTTCGATTATCCTTGTGCAGGTTATCCGGACTGCGGATTATCCGTGCTATGTTTTCCCGTTTTTTCCTTTTTTGAGATTTGATCGAAATTTCGTCACCGTAAATCACTCGATGGAAATTCTCTATACGCCGTGAGGGAGACGCATGATACAATATCGATATCGCTATAGGGTTGTCAATATTAAATGAAATTAAATCACGCGCCGCAATTGGTGAAATGTACCTAGTCGAAATCATGTGCCAATCATGAATTCTAGGAAATTTTGAATTCGATCATTGGCTACAAAAATTCGTTTATAAAAGGTATATTAATATAAAAACCCTATCGGGCTACATCACAGAATAACTATTCCATGATCAGTGCTATTCTAAAATAAGTATTACCACTTTGATTAAAGCAAACGTGAAAGTTAAAATTTTGACCAAGGCTATAACAAAAATGTGGTTTACATGTTTAAACCCAGTAAAAACCCTTCAAATCTAAACAATCTTGAAAAACTGCCTAATTTAAGCCCTTCCAGACTACATAAAATCATAAGTGTTACATATGGTTTAACTCGTATTGAATGGAAGATTCCAATAATGACTGAATATACAGGGTGATGAATTTGAAGAACCAAAGTTACTAATAATATATTAGAAATAGCAAATCTGCCAACATTGCAAAAATATTAAATATGGAATTTCGGTATCTCAAAATAGATGTACCTCAAATTTTGTAAAATTATGACTAGCAATTTACCAGATAATTGGTCGTTTTCAGCCTTTTGGGCTACTCTGTAGATAGACATAATCTTAGAATCGTTATTTTTGCTAAGATATATGCTTATTGTTTAATATTGTTTCTCAAATATTTTAACTGCTTATTTATTTTTAATATATGAAGAATATGGAACTTAGTCTTATCAAAATCAAACATTTTTATGTGTCAGTAGCAACAAGTTGTCAAGTTTATGGATTTAGACGTTTTTTAGAGGTTTTTTTTTGACACTTGTCGACTTCTTGCACTGAAATGATAATTAATTAAAATTTTAGTAGTTTAATTTCAGTAGGGCGCTTATTGTTACAAATCTGACTTTTCCAAGTTATACTCCACATGCTTTTATCTAGATGTTACCGCTTTACTCCCCTAACCCCTTCAATAATTAGAGATTTGAGGTGATGAAAGATTGCTGCATCAGAAGTTTGGCATAAAATATTCCGCAGGACAGGTTGTGTTTAATGAAAAGGAGCATTTTGCTATACAGTTCCATTTTGGCCATGCTAAATTCTCTTCGTCTGCAGCTGCTATTGTTTCATCGTCATTGTCTTGATCTTTACTGTTTTCTTCATATTCAATTGTGTGCTCTAACTGTGCGTCCGACACGTCAGCTGTATTGGTGAGTGAGTGCAAGGTTGTTTGCCTGTTATCTGTTTGAGATGCAAGGCACTTCATCATAAAAATAATCTTTAAAAAAACAAAACCATTTAAAGCTTATGTAGGTACAGGTGTACCGTTTTCGAAATCTACGTATATAAAAAATGCCAGCAGCATAAGGATTACGAAGGTTAATACATGTTCTACGTCGGGTGAGTTGCCTGTTAATACACAACAATAGCTGTAATAACCTGCTTAATTTAATTTATTTTTTTTTAATTTTTAAAACGATTTCCGGAGTGTAAGTCGAAACGTCAAAAACGAATATAAAATGTAATTTTCATTACTATCAATTGTGGCGCAATCCCATGTTTTTAATTATTTATTATTTATATTTAATATAGACATGAAATAATAAAATAGTTTCAGAACCTCTTCAAGCATTTCTATCATAATTATATTACTTATTTAATAATCAGCCTTTTATTATATTTAATGATATTTCAGACAGTAATTAGTTAGTGACACAACTTTGACTCATTGTTTTTACACTCTTTATAAACAGTAGTTATCAATATAAAAGATAAGGGATTGAATGAAGCAGTCAATACTAAATTAACACGTTAAGCGCCAGTGCAATCATTGAAATCCAGGCCGGGCGGTCAGTTGCCGATCATCCCTACCCATCAACCATCCCGTTCATATATAATAATAAAAATCAAATATATAATAATCGAAAAATAGCAATTGAGATACTATTAGGGACTGGTATCATAAATGCTTAAGTACTTACTCTCTGGAAAAGAAAATTCTGGAAAGCATAGTTCTGCCATATAAGCCATTCATGCGGCACTGAGTCAGAGGCCTACTTGTAGTCAATGAAGGCAGTAAAAAGGTTCCTTTATTTGGTGTATACCTGGTTAGAAATTACTGAGTCGATAATAAGTTGTTCTTTGTAACCCATAGTGTTATTTGGAACTCTTAGCGCATCCTTTCTGTTGAGGGTCTATAATATTGTTTAGAGCACAGTGTTGTTAGATACACGCCGGGTAACACAGGATGTGACCTATATATAATGTCAGTGTATAACTTGCTTCGACGTCTTCCGATTTCCAATCTCTATCTCATTCTATCGTTCCATAGATCGTCCTCCAGTTCTCTTTCCCTGATTTCTTTATCAACTCCTCTCCAACTTCTTCTAGGCCTTCCTGGTCTCCGCCTACCTCTTGGATGCCATTCAAGAATTTGTCTTAGTATTCTATTCTCCGGCATTCTGCTTACGTGTCCGTACCATCTAAGTTGTGTCGTTTTGATGTCATCAACAATATTATGTGTAACCCCCATGATTTCTCGGACTCTCTCGTTTGTTATTCTGTCGTGTCTAGAGATTCCCGCCGAGCGGCGTCAGAAGTCCATTTCTGATGCTCCAAGTATTTTCTCTGTTCTGTCTTTTAGGGGCCAAACTTCGCATCCATATGTTGTGATACTTTTTATTATGGTGTTGTATATCCTTCTTTTATTTTCTGTAGAGATGTTTTTATCCCACAGTACGCTATTCAGTAAGGCTATGCCTTTCCTTCCCTGTGTATTTCGTTCCTTAATGGCTGCATCTAATTTTCCATCCTGAGTGATCTTTACTCCTAGGTATTTGTAGTCTTCACATAGTTTGATCTCTTGATTTTCCTCTACGACAAGGTTATGTTGATCTCCTTAGATACGCATGTACTCAGTTTTTGCCATATTCACTTCCAAACCCCACTCTGTAAACTCTTCTAATAGTTTTCGCATTATGTAACTAAGGTCTTCAGAGTCCTGTGCGATGATGACCTGGTCATCCGCAAAGCACAGAGGGTACAAAGTTAAGTCCATTAGTGGTATGCCCATATTGTACATTTTTTCTTCCATTTGTTGAGTGCTGCTTCGAGATATATTTTGAATAATGTGGGGATATACAGCATCCTTATCTTAGTCCTTTAGTCACTTTGAATCCCGGTGTTATCAGATTTACTGTTTTAATTCCTGTTGTTTGTTGGTAGTACAACGTGTTTACCGCTTCAATCAATTCTATATTTATATTTGTTTTCCCAGTGCCTCCCATAATTTATCAAGCGGGACACTATCATATGCTTTTTTAAGGTCTACGAACGTCAGGTGAACTTCTTGGCCACGAGCAACTTTCTTTTCAATTATCTGCGTAATAGAGAAGACATGAGTCTATTGTAGATCGACGTGCACGAAAACCAGCCTGTTCTTCGGCTTCCATATCTTGGTATTCTTCTTCTATTCGATTTTTTATTATTTTCCCATATATTCTGCTAATACTACTAGTAACTGCAATTCCTCTGACCAATTTGTAGGATGTGACCAATTTGTACAAAGTTGGAAGACAAGTAATTGGGCGGTAATTGGCTGGATCTTGGGTGTTATTTTGATCCTTTGGTATTAGATAAGTAGTTCCCTGTGTAAGAAATGATTAGTCTTTCCTGTGGGTTAGAGATAACATAATTAATCAACATTGACAAACACTCATGAACATTAAAAAACTTCTTGAGTCAGAAGTTTTGGACTCCGTCTGATCCAGATTTCCAGTTATGAAGCTCTTTGATAGCATTTGAAACTTCAGTGGTAAAGGGTTCGTAAAGAATATTATTGTAATGCTGACAGTTGTTCGTTGTGTCTTCTATCCATCCAGCATTGGTGATATGATTAGCTGGCGTTGAGAGATTATATTTATTATTATTCCATTAACCCTGCTTTATTTAAGGAATTTTTTTTTATTTTCAAATTTAATAAAATAAAATAACTTGGGAAAATGTTAAGTGGTTAGAAAATTTTTGCATCCCTGTATGTATCTAAAATTTGAATCGATAATGAACTACATAGTACAAAGCATGATTTATTACGACCACAAATTTTAAATCGATGTAGGAAATATTTGTAGATAATGTTTTATTTGTGATATTTATAGCTGTATGTGTTTAACTTTAAGGCAAACATTCTAATGTAAACGCTTCTTATCGTTATTTGATACCCAGTGTCATTTTATTGATATTAGCTTCACATAATTCGCAGAAAATATCCTATCTGTTAACCAACATGACGGAAATATTAAATAGGGGATTTTAAAATTGATGTTAACAAAATTGTTTTTATTTAGGGTGAAGTGGAGTATCTGAGGACGGAATATAAAAAGTTTTATGTTGAAGTTACTTATGAAGTTAGTTGGGTTTCAAACCACTTTCTTTTTGTATATATATATATATATATATATATATATATATATATATATATATACAGGGTGAGTCACGCTCAACGGGACGGAGTCTACCGGGGAAACGGCTAAAGATATTAAAAATTTCTTTTGCAGGAATACGTAGGTTAGTACCGGCTACAAATTAAAATTTGTGAGATATATACAGGGTGTCCCAATTTGGCGTAATGATATAAACTTATACTTTTTTAAATGGAACAACATATATTTCACTTTAATTTTGAATTCTACTGAACAAAATAATGTTACTTTATTCAACATTCCCTATACCTATCTTTGACCGGTTTCGATTTATTTGGGTTTTTCTGAAAATGTACTATTCGCGAAATTAATTAATTACACAATATCGCATGAATTTTAATTAACGCCTTTTTGTCAGTTAATTGTCAAGTGTCCATGCTTTACATCAGAATAATTACCATTTGAAACTAATCTACAGAGTGTTCGCAATCTGAAGTGTCAATGCTGTACCATATTTTGTATAATTACTTTCTTAACTTAAATGGGACACCCTGTATTTTACTTTAATTTTGAATTCTATTTAAAAAAATAATATTACTTTATTAAACAATCCCTATACCTATCTTTGAGAATTTTCGATTTATTTGCGTTTTTTTGAAAATGCACTATGTATTCTTGAAATTAATTAATTTTTATCACTTTATTACATAAAGTTCTACTCTAACTTAAACAAAAACCCTGTATTTGAATGTTGTAACAATTATTATAATAAAACTATTATAAAATTTTATATTAATATCTAGTATCTTCAAATCTATTTGCATTATGTTACCTGGAACATTAAATGTCATTAATTACATAGCTCGTTATTATAAAGAATGCCATGAAAAAACAAAAGGTACCTAGCTGTCAAACTAATTGTCAAACTATTAACTGTATTGCTTTCAATTAAATAGAAATGGCAGATTATTCAATTGAAGACCGAGTAAATATGATTTTAATACTGGGTGAATGTGATCAAAACAGTTTGTTAGCATCAAGAGTCTATGCTGAGAGATTTCCCTTAAAACGTCATCCTCGTAAAGAAGTATTTGACAGAGTCTTAACAAGGTTTCGTGAAACTGGCAGGGTTGTTTATACTAAACGAAAATTAATAAATCCGATTACTGAAGATGAAAATACCGAATTAGAAGTTATTCAATCAGTTATTGAAAGTCCAAATACAAGTACAAGGACGATGGCCAGGGAGATTGAAGTAAGCCAAACTAGTATAATAATATGCAGAATTCTTAAAAAATATCAATATCACCCATACCATATTCAAATACATCAGCATTTGTATGGAACTGACTTTGAACGTAGGTTAGAATTTTGTTTATGGTTTCTAGACAAAACGGGAGCAGATCAACATTTTTTTGATAAAATTTTGTTCACTGATGAATCTACTTTCCATAATAATGGACTCATGAACCGACATAACTTTTACAATACGGAAAATCAACATGAATATAGATGTACTGATCGACAAAACCGATGGTCCCTTAATGTATATGGTGGAATAAGTAATAGGAGAACATGTGATAGTACCGTATTTTTTTAATGGCCATTTAAATGGACAACAGTTTTTAATATTTCTACGAAGAGACTTTTGGATACTTTTGCAAAATATCCCTTTAAATATTAGAAGAACAATGTTACTGCAGCTAGACGGTGCTCCAGCACATTACACGCGTAACGTTAGAGAATATTTAGACAGAAAATTTCCCGGAAAGTGGATAGGTAGGGGTGGTGCTGTCAATTGGCCCCCTAGATCACCTGGGTTAACATCAATGGACTTTTTTTTTTGGGGATATATTAAAAGTTTGGTTTATCAAACTCCACCTACAACAGCTGAAGACATGAAAACGCGTATTCGTAATGCGTTTGCAACAGTTACTCCAGAAATGCTAAGAAGAGTAAAACAAAATTTTGAACACAGAGTGAGGTTATGTATTGAAGAAAATGGACACCATTTTGAACATTTAATGTAAATTAATTTTTTTCTAGTGTGTTTTGTTTAACTTTATGTAATAAAGTGTAATTAATTAATTTCAAGAATAGTGCATTTTCAAAAAAACCCAAATTAATCGAAAATTATAAAGGATAGGTATAGGGATTGTTTAATAAATTAATAATATTTTTTTGATTCAAATTCAAAATTAAAGTAAAATACAGGGTGTCCCATTTAAGTTAAGAAAGTAATTACACAAACTATTATACAGCATTGACACTTCGTATTGCGAACACTCTGTAGATTAATTTCAATTGGTAATTATTCTGATGTAAAGCATGGACACTTGAAAATTAATTGACAAAAAGGCGTTAATTATAATTGATGGGATATTGTGTAATTAATTAATTTCGCGAATAGTACATTTTCAGAAAAACCCAAATAAATCGAAACCGGTCAAAAATAGGTATAGGGAATGTTGAATAAAGTAACATTATTTTGTTCAGTAGAATTCAAAATTAAAGTGAAATATAGGTTATTCTATTTAAAAAAGTATAAGTTTATATCATTACGCCAAATTGGGACACCCTGTATATATCTCACAAATTTTAATTTGTAGCCGGTACTGACCTACGTATTCCTACAAAAGGAATTTTTAATATCTTTAGCCATTTCCCCGGTAGGCTCCGTCCCGTTGAGCGTGACTCACCCTGTATATATATATATATATATATATATATATATATATATATATATATATATATATATATATATATATATATATATATATACAGGGTGAGTGGGGAGGAACGCACCAAACTTTAAGACTGTATAATATACGTAAAAATAAGTAAAAATAACTCATATGTTGTTATTCGATTTTCATTTGTTTTCGAGTTATAGCGATAATAACACAAAGTTGTAACTTAACATTAATTTAATGTTAAATGTTCTTATAATAAATTTTCAAAAATACCACCATTGACCTGTAAGCATTTTCTGCTTCGTCTATGAACATTCAACGTTGCTCTTCTGATTGCGTCATGGTTTGCTCTAATTGTGGCTGCAACATTTTTAATGCGTCGAATTAGTGCATCGCGAGTGTCGACTTTTACCTTGTAAACTTCATTTTTAAACCAGCCCCATAGAAAATAGTCTAATGGTGTTAGGTCTGGAGACCTCGGAGGCCAACTAATAGGACCATTGCGACCAATCCAACGCCTTGGAAATTTTGTATTTAAATGTTGCCTGTCCTGACGAGCAAAATGTGCAGGAGCTCCATCGTGCTGATAATACATTTGCATTCTGATATTTAGTGGAATGTTCTGTAGGAGTCCTGGCAATTCATTCTGTAAAAAATTCAAGTACTCCTCTCCTGTAAGGCGGTTCTCAAATATGAAAGGGACAATTAAATAACCGTCGATCACACCACACCACACGTTTACCGAAAATTTGTGCTGAAAACTAGCTTCAATTGTTGCATGTGGATTTTCATCTGACCATACATGTGAGTTGCGGCTATTATTAATACCGTCTCTGGTGAATGTTTCTTCATCGGTAAAAAGTATGCGAATAACACGACGATTATTATTTATCCATCGACAAAATTGCATACGGCTGGCATAATCTTCTGGTTGTAGGTGCTGTACACGTTGTAGGTGGTATGGATATAAACCTTGCTCGTGAAGTGTGTTAATTACTCTCGTTTGAGGAATGGCTAAATGAGTACCGATTCTTCGTGAGCTGATCCCTGGATCATCTTCTACTGAATCCAGAATATTTTGTATTTCTTGTAAACTTTGTCGGGGAGCACGTTCCGATATTATTTTATAACTAGGAAGCGTTCCGGTCTCGCATAGTTTGTTGAAAACTCTAATAAATACATTTTTATCTGGAGTTCTCCGATTTGGAAACTGTTGACGATATTCTTCAACAGCAGCTCTACCGTTTCCATTACAAAAGCCATAAACAAACACCATATTTGCATAATCACTATTTGAATAAGTATGTGGCATTTTGCAACAACTTTTTTTATACAAACTGTCAAATAGACATTAAATCACGTTGACACTACACTATTATGACAGTTAACTAACTATTAAACGAATCACAGATACCTGTTACAGCAATGTGATAAGTAGCAGTAAAATTACAACTTTGTGTTATTATCGCTATAACTCGAAAACAAATGAAAATCGAATAACAACATATGAGTTATTTTTACTTATTTTTACGTATATTATACAGTCTTAAAGTTTGGTGCGTTCCTCCCCACTCACCCTGTATATTAGTAATCTGTTATATGTTTCTCCGTATATGTTCTCTTCAATTGAAGATGAAAAAAATGAATTGAGAGAAAAGAGTATTGACATTCTTCTTTCACCCGTTAATTTAAGGTAACTGTGTACCCTGATGGGGAGACTGTGGTCTACTTGTTAAACTTCACTTTGTAGTTATTATAATGAAAATTGAAATGAGGTTGAATGCTCGAATAAATGAACTTTGAAAAATAAGGCTATTATCGAGCACAAGTTAATTAAATCTAGCCCAAGTACTTTCGCTTAAAATAGCATCTTCAGGGGCATTTCGTCAAAATATAAACTATCCGGCAAACGTAGAATGTGGAAACATTAATAATAACATAAAATTGTACAAAACAATACACTAAAACGAGGACAAACAGTTTAAAATTACATTAAAGATTCTACGCTACATTCTTTGTCAGTATCTGGAGGGATAATTATCCCTCTATTTATTTATTATCCCGCGCTAATTATTTATTGTTTTGCTTTATTTTAGGTACCTCACAGTTATTGAATGTAACTCATAAAAAGTCAGAGTTCTCTACTATGTTGGATCATTCTTACAAATGTGCTAAGGTCCAAACTTTGAATTTGACCGCTCTAGGCAGTAATGATACTATTGCTTTATTGCATATTAGTCATGTGCAATTCCAAGCCTTTTCTAATGTGACACAACATAAGTTTTATGATGGTAAGTAACTTTAAAATATTTTTAGAATAAGCAGTAGTTCCATTGAAATATTTTGTGTTAACTAAAAACTGTAAAATTTCTAGACTTGGTTTATTTTCAATATTTTAAACATATTTTTTTTGAAAAATTGTTTAATATAAATTTATTTATACATTAGTACATTATAGTACAACATTTCAAAAGTATTATGTGAAATTTTGGTACAAAAATATTAAAAATTAAGAAAATGACAGCTAATTTTCCAAGATGGAAAAAAAGTTACTTTGCGGTGTTATTAGTATCTTCGTTCAATATATAATTTTGCCATGTCTTTGGCCGGCTATATTTTTCCAGTGAAGTATCTTGCCTTCGCAGGCTTTTTGTCGTCGCGGAAGATGCTTTTTGACACTCCACGCCGGCTCTGGACCGAAATATTTTGTAATTGACTCTTCTGGCGAGTACATAAGCTCTTTCATTGCCATGTATTCCCCGTTGCGTTGAATCCATACAAGTGTAATACTGTTATGTTCTGCCAGTATATATAGTTGGTCTCGGCCTTTTGTGATTAGTTTTGAGAACTCATATATATTGTCGAGATATATGTCTTAATTACTATTTATAACTGGGAATAAGCCACAATTAAAGATAAAAATACGTTTATTGACGTTTCAATTTCCAATTCGGAAATCGTTCTCAAAATACAAATAGTAAATTAAACAAATTTTGTTTTTTTGTTACATAGTGAAAAAATTCTTCTAATAATTTAATTTTATCTGACTCATTTATATTGACAATTCAGACATACATTATGCATTTTAAAGTAGACGACTTTAAAATGATATTGCCAATATTGTTGAGTTGCGCTCCTGGGACGACTTTACTTATAAGATAGTTCATTCGATTACATGAAATCAACTTTAACTTGACAATATCCGCCAGAAAAAATCATAGCATGTAATTCGTCTTTAAAAAGACAAACACATGACATGATGACAGTAAAATTCTCCTGTTAGTGATTCCATAGTAAATTATGAGGGAAAAACCAGGAAAAAAACCTCATAATACTATCCCGACATTGTAAGTATTTGTTCGTGAATTTAGTTTACCTTCAACAAACATCAAAATTCTGATTTTATATGTTACGTTATTTAAAAAACATAAATGATGTATCCTCTATATGTTACTGACTTACTAATACTGGTATTTTCTTATTAATAACTTCCTCTTTCAATATTGGTAACCAGATCCTACTACATTCTGCCGAGGAATTTGCGACACAATTGGCCTCATTCAGCATAATTAGAGCCGCTTCTTTGATTTTTCTTTTTTTACCATCCGTTTCTTTTAGGACTATATTTGAATTATTCCATTGAACTCTATGTTCATTATCCCATGCGTGTTTACATATTTGAGATCTATCAAATTCTCTGTTTTTAATATAAGATTGATGTTCACTTATTCTAACATTTAATGGCCTTGATGATTCACCTAAATAAAACTGATCGCATTCACAAGGTATTTTATAAATGCAATTCTTTGTCCTTTCTTGTTCATTGTTAGGTTTGGTTTTAGACAAAATAGATCTCAACGTGTTTGTTGTTTTGAATGTTGTTGAAATGTTGAATTTATTTCCTATCCTTTTAAGTTTTTCTGATAATCCTTTTATGTACGGTATTGTTATTTTCCTCATATTATTCCTTGTGTATGCTGTAGGATCTCGTTCTAAGTTGTTCTGTTCTATTCGATCGATTGTTGAAAATTCCTTATTTATAAACGATAAAGGATAATCATTTTTTAATAAAACAGATGTTAACAAATGTTTCTCCTCCAAGAACGAATTTTCGTTAGAACAAGTAATTTTGGCTCTATCGTATAAGGATTTAATTATTCCCTTTTTTACATTAATATTGTGATTTGATTTGAAATTTAAATATCTATTGGTGTGTGTTGGTTTTCTATACACCTGAGTCTCATATCCAGTATCGTTCTTAGAGATCAAAACATCCAGGAAAGGTAGCGTGTTATTATATTCCTTTTCCATGGTAAATGTTATTGTCTCTTCTTTATCGTTTATATCGTTTAGGAATGTGTCCAACAACTCTGATCCATGAGGCCATATTGAGAATACATCATCTACATACCTCCACCATACTGTGGGTTTGAAATTTTGTTTAGAAATGATATTTGTTTCAAAATCTTCCATAAATATATCGGCTAAGAATGGAGATAAACTAGAGCCCATTGCTAGACCAAAATTTTGTTTATAGAATTCATTATTTAGTTGAAAATATGTATTATCAGTACATAATGTTAATAACTCCATTGTAGCCGATATGTTTAGTCTTGTTCTAGTTGCCAATGAATCATCACTCTCTAATTTTGTCTTGACTATACTTAAAGTCTTATTTAATGGCACATTCGTAAATAAACTATTTATGTCAAAACTTACCAAAGTATTATTTGAATTAAATTCAATATTTGATAATTTATTTAAAAAATGTTGTGTATTTTTTATGAATGTGTCATTTTTATTTGTATAAGGTTTTAAAATATTTAATAAAAATTTTGATAGTTCACTGCAAGGAGAATTTATGGTACTACAAATGGGTCTAAGTGGTATATTCGTTTTATGAATTTTCGGTACTCCATAAAAATGAGGAGTCTTACTGTAATGAGGTGTAATTAATCCCCTCTGATAACTTGTTAAAACATCTTTAAACTTGAATAAAGTTCTATATATTTTGTTTTCCAAAGGCTTTGTTGGATCTTTTGTTAATTTTGTATAAGGTCCGTTTATTAATAGATCTTTAATTTTATTTTCGTATTGAATTTTATCCATTATTACAGTTGCATTCCCCTTGTCTGCTGGTAGGATGATTATGGAGTCGTCATTTTTTAAAGTTCTTATGGCCTTTAGTTCCTCTTTGCTTATGTTTTGTTCAATTTTAGTAGATTTTTCCAATTCAAGTTTACATAACACTCTGTATTCTTCCTTTTCATGGGTTGGTAAGCATTGAGATATTTTCTCCACTGAGCTTATTATGTCTAATTTTGGAACGGATGGCTGAGTAATAGCAAAGTTTAGACCCTTTGACAGTATTAAATTCTCCGTAGCATTTAAATGTCTATTTGATAGATTGACAACTGTCGCATGGGATAATGAACATAGAGTTCAATGGAATAATTCAAATATAGTCCTAAAAGAAACGGATGGTAAAAAAAGAAAATCAAAGAAGCGGCTCTAATTATGCTGAATGAGGCCAATTGTGTCGCAAATTCCTCGGCAGAATGTAGTAGGATCTGGTTACCAATATTGAAAGAGGAAGTTATTAATAAGAAAATACCAGTATTAGTAAGTCAGTAACATATAGAGGATACATCATTTATGTTTTTTAAATAACGTAACATATAAAATCAGAATTTTGATGTTTGTTGAAGGTAAACTAAATTCACGAACAAATACTTACAATGTCGGGATAGTATTATGAGGTTTTTTTCCTGGTTTTTCCCTCATAATTTACTATGGAATCACTAACAGGAGAATTTTACTGTCATCATGTCATGTGTTTGTCTTTTTAAAGACGAATTACATGCTATGATTTTTTCTGGCGGATATTCTCAAGTTAAAGTTGATTTCATGTAATCGAATGAACTATCTTATAAGTAAAGTCGTCCCAGGAGCGCAACTCAACAATATTGGCAATATCATTTTAAAGTCGTCTACTTTAAAATGCATAATGTATGTCTGAATTGTCAATATAAATGAGTCAGATAAAATTAAATTATTAGAAGAATTTTTTCACTATGTAACAAAAAAACAAAATTTGTTTAATTTACTATTTGTATTTGAGAACGATTTCCGAATTGGAAATTGAAACGTCAATAAACGTATTTTTATCTTTAATTGTGGCTTATTCCCAGTTATAAATAGTAATTAATTTACAATGCCACAAGAAAATAGCTTCAGAACAATATATATGTCTTAGGTATGCGGTCTTTCATATCTTGATCAAGAGTAGTTCTGTTTTTTTATTTTTTTAAATCTTCTTTATTTGTGACGTGGTCCATCCAAGATATTCCAAGTATATGTCTATATAACCACATTTCGAAGACCTCAAGGCAGATCATTGTATCAACTTTCATGGTCCAAGCCCTATCTGCTACATAAAACAAGGTAAGTTACACATAGCATTTGTCAAATTTGAGTCTGGTGCTTATTCTGAGACTGTGGTCACTCAGGAAGATCCAGTGTTCGTTACTTTTCTCTCTTCAAGTGATTATGTGGCTGCGTTAATTACATTATTTTTGAGTTTTTCCCAGCTTTCCTCGATGTTATCGTTTTCTAATATTTCATTCCCAGCGATCTTGTCTGATACTCTTTTCCTGTATAAGTATTCCGTCGATTTCGTATTTAGTCCTTCGACTTTGATTTTTGTGTGTGTTGGCGCCGCTCTCTTGGGTGGGAAGTATTTCAGGATTATTCTTATTTTACATAATACTAGGCTATGGTCGCTACCTATATCTGCTGAGTTGAGGCATCTTACGTCGTTTATTTTTGATGGATGTATATCTGTGTTGGTTATAACATAATCTATCATAGATCTTTGTCAACAGGTGTTATTAAATGTATATTTGTATTGGTCTTTGTGGTCAAAAAATGTGTTGTTTATTCTTAGTTCGTTATTCATGCAGAAGTTGAACATCAGTTCTCCATTTTCGTTTTTAACATTCTCGTTATGTTTTTGTTTGATGCCGGGTATTACTTGGTTGCCTATTCGAGCGTTATCTCAAAACAAATAACTAATTTATTTAACAACACTAGTATAATCTACTGAGTTCGAAAACAAAAGCAGCTATCATATCAAATTAAAAAATACCATAATACTAATCATCTGACGTAAAATAAAATAATAATTGTGTACTGAGTTTCATTGCATTCTAAATAATATTGGATATAAAATATGTGCTCAAGGTTACATCCATAACGATATTTAAACACCTTGTTCGTGTTTTTTTGTTCT